AAAAAAAAGATATGTTTATTCTGAGAAAGTACGGTTTTGTGTCTGATTTTTTTGTGTCACAAGTTTAGTGGTTTTCTTTGGATAAAGATAATTTGCAAACAGCGTCTGAATGTTTCTATACATTCTGATGCGGATTTTCGTAAATTCGCTCAGCATTTTCTTCAATGACTATCAGCTAAATTTATCACAAAATGTCACTATACTAATATAGTAATTAATGCTTAATTTCTAATTTCTTTTATTACAAATTTACTTTACGGTTCTTACCATTACTACATATGCCAAATACCTTTTAAACAAAGCCAGTCAGGTGCTTAGAAAACTGCAATGGTGGCAGCAAAACTAGGAAGTTAAATGTATTTTATAGTGTTTATAATCATAGCAACATTCAATAATCTATTTCAATAACTCCAAAAATCTGGTTACAAAATCTTAAATGCTGAAATTTTAATTTTAAAGTTAAACATAGCTTCATAATTTTAATATAGAGGCCAAGGTTTTTTTAATGCTTTAAGGAGCGCATGAATCCTGTTAAAAAAATAATATACAGATGTTTGCTTTCGTGAGCATAAAATTCTGATCAAAATAATGATCATCTTCTTGATGGCAAAAATTTCATTGGCTTAAAAAAAATGAAGCTGCTAATGAAAGTCAACATGTTTTGAGCTCTCAAAAACAAGCACCCATTCTAAAAACTCGCCAGGCGTAAATGAAGAAAACAAAAGTCATTTGAAACAGAAAATGTGAAGTTGCCAACGAAAAGTGAAAAATAAAACTGTAAAACCTGAGAGTGAAATAGAAAATAAAAGAGTAAATAAAAACAAAACCATGAAAACCGCAGTGGCCGAGAGGGGAAAATCAGGGCAAAATGCAGTTTCACGTGCTATGGAGAAATCGTGAGAGAGCTCAAGAGAATCAGCATTCATATGAATAAAATAAGATTCCCGGGTATCGAGATGAGCTGACATGCCGGGATAGCTAGGAATTTTGGCATGATCAACATTGTATACACACCAGGTAACACAAATCAATATGCCAGCAATTAAAAAAAATTGCTCTCGAAATCTAAACCATAGTGGCAAAAAACAAATGGTCCAATCTCTTTTGCCGATGATCCAAGAAAGGAATCTCGAATAGACAATCAACAACCATGCGCACTTTTGTGCTCTTGGTATCGTTCGCTTGGAGGAAAATCTTCTGGTAGCACTGTTGCAATGAAAAAAAGGGAGAATGTTGGATATGATTTGGAGTAGTTTTTTTGCATTGGATATCGAAAAAAGCTTATTTGGAGCGATAAAAAAGAAATTTTAGAGAATGAGCCAATAAACATTGTCCGTGACATATTTTAAAGTTGTGATATATCTTAGATCCATGCTGTTTTATTTATTTTTTAAGTCGTGAGCACCAAAAAATGAGTTTTTATTCATTTTTATGCTAGAAATCTAATTTTTTGGGTCAGTAAAATTAAAATTGGTTTTTTTCGCCTCAATTTTTCTGAAGTAATTTTAATTTTTTAAACTTTTAATTCTAACTATGGTTTCAAAAAAATATTAAATATGCATCAAGATTTACATTTTAAGCAATGATTCTTTTTTCTCAAGGATTCTTTCTTGCAATGATTTGGCGATTTTAGTTTTATTTCCCTATTTTTATGTATCAGGTAAACAAAGACATGTGATATTTTTCATCTAGCTTTAATTTTATATCATAGCTTAATTCGTTTACTTAAATAAATATCAAGTTATCAATCTATTAAACAAAATTTATTCAATATGTTAACATTCTGATTGTTGAATCACTTTATACGGATTACACTCTACAGAATGAAATGAATAATATGCGTTTAAATTAAAGAAAACCTGTTTTACAAAAGAAATAATAATAATACAATGCATTCCAAATTTTTATCTTTCAAAATTTTATAGATTACTTTAAACAACAAAGTAGACTGCATACGTTAAAATGGCCAATTTCCTTAAAGTTAACAACTTTTTATTTATTACTTTTTTTTTAAAAGAACAGAGTTTTGAAATCGGTTAGGCTAAAAATGTTTTATTTTTTTGAAAATTTGAAGACACGTAATAGCTGATTAACGAAACCAAAAGTGCCAATTCTATTCACCAGAAAATTGGACTACCAATTTCCTAAATTTTATTTGAATTGTTCAAAAATTTATATAGTTAAATACACTTTCAAACAAATTAAATTCCTATTTAAATAAAATAGGAATCATAGGAAAATTTATCATTTACTGTTTATCACTTACTTATAAATATTTCAGATGAGTATATGAAAGCAACTGATTGTGAAATGATGAAAAGAAACAACTATATCAATAATAAGCTTTAAAATGCATTTTCTGAAGCACTAAATTTTTCCATATTTTTTCCCGATAGACATATATAGTCGAAATCAATTGAGACTGTTACGAAATTTTGTGAAAATTAGATTATTGTTAAGATATTTTGTGACAATGATACTAGTCTTATGAAATTTCGTGACAATGAGACCATTGTTATGATATTTTGCGACACTGAGACTATTGTTACATTTTGTGATAATGAGATTATTGCTATGATATTTTGTGACAATGAACTACTGTGATATTTTGTGACAATGAGACTATTGTTATGGAATTTTGTGACAATGAGACCATTGTTATGATATTTTGTGACAATGAGACTATTGTTACATTTTGTGATAATGAGATTATTGCTATGATATTTTGTGACAATGAACTATTGTTATATTTTGTGACAAAAAGACTATTGTTATGGAATTTTGTGACAAGGAGACCATTGTTATGATATTTTGTGACAATGAGACTATTGTTATGGAATTTTGTGACAATGAGACCATTGTTATGATATTTTGTGACAATGAGACTATTGTTACATTTTGTGATAATGAGATTATTGCTATGATATTTTGTGACAATGAACTATTGTTATATTTTGTGACAAAAAGACTATTGTTATGGAATTTTGTGACAAGGAGACCATTGTTATGATATTTTGTGACAATGAGACTATTGTTATGGAATTTTGTGACAATGAGACCATTGTTATGATATTTTGTGACAATGAGACTATTGTTACATTTTGTGATAATGAGATTATTGCTATGATATTTTGTGACAATGAACTATTGTTATATTTTGTGACAAAAAGACTATTGTTATGGAATTTTGTGACAAGGAGACCATTGTTATGATATTTTGTGACAATGAGACTATTATTATGGAATTTTGTCACAATGAGACCATTGTTATGATATTTTGTGACAATGAGACTATTGCTACATTTTGTGATAATGAGATTATTGCTATGATATTTTGTGACAATCATACTACTGTTATATTTTGTGACAATGAGACTATTGCTATGGAATTTTGTGACAAAGATACTATTGTTATGAAATTTTGTGACAAGGAGACTATTGTTATGAAATTTTTGCAAATATTTGAAACATTATAAAAAGCACAACTGCAATCGTTACCTGTTGGTCAACCCTGTATTAGACAATTTATAATTTGCGCAATCCAAAAGTACGCGCTAAAATGACAAAAAAAATTAACGCATCACATACACTGTATTTTTTAAATTAATAATAATTTTAACTTTTGGGTGGATTTTAAACTTATTATTATTTTAGACTTATTTTACTGTTGCAATTTTAACAAAACATTTACTGATTTAAATGAGGATATTAATAATTGAAAATCTCATTCGCTTTATCCCCACAGGCACTTCCCCGTTTAGTATTTAATGTAGCTGTCATTGAAGAAATATTCTCTTTATACGCAATTGGGATTCTTCTGGATAAGAGGTAAATATTATTCGACAATACAATATACAACATACAAAATAATCTGTACAATAACTGTAATTCAACTGTAGATGATTAAGCTATTAAGTTCCATTCTTAATTTGTCCTTTTTTACAACATTCGCAAGATTTCAAATTTCATGATTTAACGTCGTTTATGGATAACTGTGAAACAGTAAATTTTCAACTTTCAACAGAGGTATTTCCCGATTGCACTAATATATCTTGACAAAAAATTGAGAAAGTACACATAAGTCTTGGTTTTAAAAACTTTTCCCAATGAGCTGCCGATAAGCAGACCTATTGCGTTCTCCAGAGGTGGTATCCACTCTTTCAGGACCACCACAATGGGTGAGATACCGTTGGTCATGTTAATTTGGACGTCTAGTTTCTGCCACACTAGATGGCAGCACCGAGACACCATTTGGATGCTGAAGTGCACTAGGAATTTAATTTTGCCGGAAATGCCAAGAGCCAATAAGACACTCCAGGGATCTTTTTCATGCCGCATAATCATACGACATGGCCGCTGAAGATTTTCTGCATCCTGAAAATCAGGTGTCTGGGCCGGGGATCGAACCCACACACTTGGGCTCAGAAGGCAGACGACAAACCAACTGCGCCACCCAGCCACTTCGGTTTTAAAAACTAGCTTGATGTATTTTTTCATTATTTTTTTAATATTTTTCTTCATAACTTTCTTCGGAAATTCTGACATTTCTTATTTTTCGAAGTGCTATACAGCTGCTGAGCTATAAAAATATGAAGTTACCATTTAGGTACCACATTAAAGGTACCAAGATTTCTTTCCTATAAAAATCAATTAATAAATGAAAAAACAATCAATAAATGAATCAATAAATGACCATTTTTTTAAATTTTGAATAATCATAATTTTGAATAATCATCATTTGAATAATCACATTAAAAACGTAAGCTAACATAGATTCAAAGGCCTGAATAAGAAACATTTAAGGTAAATATAGGAAAACTTGCACACGTTTCAACTGAATAATTGCAAAATATGTAAAGATTGTTATTTTACAGAACTATCCAATTAAAATGTTGAAAAAGTTTTTTTAACACTAGATTGCCTAAGGAAGTCATTTTGACTGCTTTTAATTTCAATTAGAAAAANCTAGATGGCAGCACCGAGACTCTATTTGGATGCTAAAGTGCACTAGGAATTTAATTTTGCCGGAAATGCCAAGAGCCAATAAGGCACTCCAGGGATCTTTTACATGCCGCATAATCATACGACATGGCCGCTGAGGATTTTCTGCATCCCGAAAATCAGGTGTCTGGGTCGGGGATCGAACCCGCAGACTTGGGCTCATAAGGCAGACGACAAACCAACTGCGCCACCCAGTCACTTCGGTTTAAAAACTAGCTTGATGTATTTTTTCATTATTTTTTTAATATTTTTCTTCATAACTTTCGTCGGAAATTCTGGCATTTCTTATTTTTCGAAGTGCTATACAGCTGCTGAGCTATAAAAATATAAAGTTACCACTTAGGTACTACATTAAAGGTACCAAGATTTCTTTCCTATAAAAATCAATCAATAAATGAAAAAACAATCAATAAATGACCATTTTTTTAAATTTTGAATAATCATCATTTGAATAATCATATTAAAAACGCAAGCTAACATAGATTCAAAGGCCTGAATAAGAAACATTTAAGGTAAATATAGGAAAACTTGCACACGTTTCAACTGAATAATTGTAAAATATGTAAATATCGTTATTTTACAGAACTATCCAATTAAAATGCTGAAAAAGTTTTTTTTAAGGATATTCCTTATTATTTTGTTACTATGCTTTTATTTTAAAGAACAATCATAATAAAACCAAGAAAGCTCTCTGTCCGTACATAAGAGATATATTGCTTACATGGGAAAGTGGCATTGTTATTAATAACTGTAATCCGATCATTAACAATAATGATGGAATTTAAATGACTTTATTGGAATGTATTTGCAAACAAATATTGATAGAAATTAATATTTCAACTTAATGATTGATTAGGATCGCAAAAGGAGTTTTAAATGTAAAAAAATAGTAAAGAATCGACGAAAATATTTTTTTCAGAAATGGATTGGATATCCTTGCTTAGTTTCTATACTTTTATTGACCCTTCGTTTGACTACTCTGATATCTGCACAAGAATAAGAACAATGCCCTTTCACTCCGAATGTAGCAAGTGAGCTAACTCACCTATATTTGGTTAAATTTATTGCACAGATATTTATTTAAAATTGATAGTTTCCTGAAAAAATCGTTGGTGTTCGAATCGTTAGCTAAAAGTTCGGTAGCTTATTAGAAATCGTTTGACTTAACTCTTATCATGAAATAGAAATTCAGAAGAAGAGCTATGAAAGATTGAACACTTGTCTTGACAACAAATAACGTGCTCTCAAGTGCGCATTGCAGACACTACTGTTGTTCAGTGCTTAAAAAAGTAACAAACAGAATCATTTTCATGCATTAGGACTATCTTAAGGGTTCGAGGTCCTAACCCTAAATATGCTAATTAGTGCAGACGATATTTTAAGTTACGATATCAAGCACAAAAGCATACCATCTCTTTAAAAACACCTTTTTTTCTTGACAGATTTGGATTCTCGACCTTCAGAGTATGGGGTAAACGCAATCCAGAAAATATGCCCACAATAGTTTTAGGCTGGAGAGCAATTTAAAGTTTAGACCATTTAATGTTTATTTCACATTTTACGTAATTCCCTATTTCTCAAAAACTGTTTAAACAACTTAAAAATTTTCACTCAGTTATAAAATTCGTTTATCCAAAGAAAATTCCAAGTGAAGAATAATTTTTAATTGTTATGTATTGTTTGATATTATTTTATTCTATAATAGTCGAAAAAAATTTGACAGCATAAATTTTCTCACAGTCATTTTAAATGGCAAACATATGACGTGACATGTTAAATGGTAAAATATAAAATGTGACTTAAATCGATCGAGTAGCTAACGAGAAATCAATTTTAATTTTACGACATCTTAAATTTGGATAATTTAAAAACCATTTTACCCATTTAATTTTGTTCTGTTTTACCCAACATTCTTTAAGTTGAAATTTTCCTGGCTTTACCTTATCATAAAAATTTCTGCTTTAACAAGAAAATTCATTCTTCTATCTCAACATTCGCATTTTAAAAAATCAGTTTTTTTTTTAAAAAATTCTATTTTTAGGACTTATTTTCCAAAGGTGGAGTTAATCAGATGCCTGCTGCACTTCGCTATTGAATACTATTTGCTTCAATATTCGAAAATTACCACTTCCATTATTCAAGCAAGATGGCTTCCAGTGATGATGATTCAAGCAATTCAATTAATTTCTCTCATTTTTTGGTTAGCTTATTGTACTCTGGAAGTATCCATTAAGGGAAAACATTTACGACGTATGATTTTGGGAGATCGATTCAAAACAATATAAAATTAATTTCTGATTACATTTTTCTTTGTGAAAAAGCTTTTCTAAAAGTTGTACCTATTACATTTAACCTGATATTAAATAAAAAATAAAATTACTTTTTAAATTTTTATTTAGTACAATGAGTAGCTGAAGAGATAAAAATATATCTCTGAAATCATAATCAATAAAAGTTCGAGATAGTCGAAAACAGTTCTTGGTATTTATGCTGTCAGTAAATTCTCCATTAATTTATAGAATTTCTCCATTTAAAGGAAAATATATCGATTTTAAAAATCTAGTTCACATGTTACGCTGAGGAAGAACTAATATGTATGGCAAATATTAGCATTTTGGTATTGAGAATAGTCTATTAAAAAGAGTATAAAAGAGAAGATTTATTTTATACAAAAAAAACATCACCTTTTGTAAGATTCGTATGTGTTATATTATTTTATATTAAATCTGAATAAAGTTATTGCAGTTGTTAAAAATATCAATTAAGTAAATGATACATGTAATAATAATTGAAATAATACTTCTTCAAAGTAGTAGAAAACTTGATCTTAAATGGATTAAGATTAGGAAACGATTGCTTGAGTCTAATCGAAATCTAAAAATAAAAAAAAATTTATTACATATTCAATCTATAATAATAATTTATTATATATTCTGTTGTACTGAAAAATCGAATCGAAATCTATAAAATATTTATATTTTCAATTTCTAATAGTAATTTATTATATATTCTGTTGTAAAAGACAATTTTTCAAAGACAATTTTTAGATGAAAATATTTTATTACTATAATTTTCCAGTTATAAAAAATGTAAAGCTAATTTAGCATATTTATAGCAAGAATCGCTTAAATGAAAAATATACTTTAATTCAAACAATCTTTTACAGTCAGCGCTTTTCCAGAAAGAAAAGAACATCAAACTTCGAATGAAAATTGCCGTAAAAAACATCTTATGATTTAATTATTACTTCTTAAATGGGCAAAATGATACATATTATTTCATAATCTTGAAACACATTAATACAAAAAACTTTCAGCTTTACTAGCAAAAAAAAAAAAACACTTCAGCTTGTTGTTTTTGCAAGTATCTTTGTTTTACTAATCCCATATATCTGAGGTACAGTCACCACCAGGAAATCTAATTTCATGTGCTAAAATATTTCCTTCTTTAGAAAAGTCTACAAGAAAATTTTGATCCAGCTGTAAACCACCTTTCTCGGTGTCTACATTAATCATAAGCATCATCGATCCTTGTCTGAAAAATAAAATGCATTTAATGTATTTCAAAACTTAAGGTACTTTAAAAAAGTAATTTGACGCATAAAAGATGCTTAGTACGTAAAAAAATATATGACACACAAATTACACTTACAATACGATAAAGATACTTGATATTGTAAAGTAATTTGACCTATAAAACACACTTCAATATCTTTTATTTAAATTTGATTCTTGATGTGTAAAAGATACTTTGGTACATAAAATTCACTTATGTACATTAAAGTTAATTTGATACAGTTAAAGATAGTTAAAATAAATAAAAGATACACTAAAACTATAGAAAATATTTCTTTATACGGTTTGATATATATAAAATACACTCAAGACAAACGAAAGATAATTTTTGATGCGTAAAAAAAGAACTTAAAATAAATAAAATATATTTTGACTTATAAATACTCAAAATGAATAATTTAATTTATTTTTAAATATAGTTTTAGGTAAATTAAAGATGCTTGGTATTGATAAATTGTATTGAATGTAATTTTCGTCGCTTTTTAAAATTATCCGTGCCGAAAATAGAGTTTATTATAACAGTGAGCTTAGAGAAATATCTCCTACTGTGTTTCAGTTTATAGTTTCCAGAAAAAGATGCCAAATACTGAATAATAATAGTAAAAGAAAAAGATATTAAGATCTTTAGAAAAATAAGAATGGAAAATACTTTAATAACAGTTAGAATTAAAAATTTCGCCTTGCAATCATTAGAGTCTGAACTTTCGTATAAAGAAGAATGTGGAGTGAACAGTACAATAAAGTTTATTAAATTATACTGTTTTTCAATTTGCGTACCTCATTAATACTTTGATTGATAGTTGTACAGTGAATAAAAAAAGTGAACGGACCAGTCTGAATAACTTTTGATCTAATAATCGGATTTTCACGTTTTAGGATTTAATCTTAATAGTTCGGAGGGGGGACTTCAAATATGCAAACTAATTATTGCAGACGATATTCCAAGTTGCAAAATCAGACACAGAAACGTAGTTTCTCTGAATAAAAAACTTTTTTCGAGGGACTCGGATTTCTGATCCCCAAAATATAGGGGGTAGCCGTAATCTGGGAAATATGGTCCCAATAGTTTGGTAAGGAGAACGGTCCAAAGTTTGGACCCCTAAATGTCAATTTTTTTTCTCCGTATTTCACCTATTTCGAGACCATTTTAAGTGAATTGAAAAAATTTTGTGATCAGTTATAAAATTCGTAGTCAAAAGATTATTTTTTTAATTTTTTTATTTTGTTTAATATTGGTCGAAAGGATTTTGAATTCAATTTTTTACATCATTTTAAATGAGGTAATTTTGCATGACAAAATGCAAAAGTCAAGCGAAATCAATCAGACAGTTCCCTAAATAATCGAATTTTTAAAAAAACAAAAAATTTTTAAACTTGATTTTCCAGGAAAATTTTTTTCGCGTAGTGTGCGCTTATTATGCTCTTAGCACTACATTGTAAGTCAGTAATTTTTAGTATACTTCACCAATTCATCAATTATTTGTTTTTCTTTTAATTTTTCAACATTGAATAGTTTTTTGAGAATATAAAATCTATGAAAAAATTTTCTATCAACTTTGGATGAGTAAAAAACATTATATTTAATTTGAACCTGTTGAAAACGAAATAAAGTATATCGTCTTACTCTATTATCTCTGGGTAAAACTGTTTATCCCAAGCACTGAACAATGAATTTGTAACATACAGTCTTTTACCATCCAGACTTAATTGCAGCATTTGAGGCCCTCCACGAACAGGAATTCCTTTTATATGAGGTCTCTCTGGCTGAACCTGAATCATAAACGTGTATTTAATGATTTGCCTAAAAATTAAAGAACAATTTATACTAACTATTGCTTAGATAAAGCAGTGTCATACAAACTTTACAATTATACTTGCATTTTTAATATACTAGGACTAAAAGCAATAAAACTCAGCTTTCTTATTTATAATAAACATGCATATTGGTTGGTTGGTTCTAATGTCACTTGCCACACGGGAAAGCCTGCTTGGTGAAACCGAGCAAATTTTAAGGCAAAGTGTGCGATTCTTGTTTTTCAGTGGCGCCATCTATGGTCAAGTAATCAACTTCGCCACACCATACGTCACACCTGTTTATAAGGCGGACCCATCCACAGATCATAATTTTGACCTGAATCAGAGAGCGATCGATCTCCAATCCAGTACCCCCAGAGGTATTGATTTGTTATGGGCACATGGAGGACTTTGCGACTCGACAGAATTTTAACGTGCATCAGTCACCAACTACACGGGGAATCTTCGGCCGGCGGATTTCGAACTAACATACGTATAGAAATTATATATGGTTTTATAAATATATATTTAGAAGTAACCGAACTTAAAGATACTGATTTTTAACTTTATGAAGGATCTCTAGGTAATAATTGAACCGGTTGGATATTTTACAAGCGATTAGCATTAAAAATTGGAAAGTGAAATCTTCATGTGTTCTCAGTATATAAGTAGCAGAAATTAAAAATCTTAAACATTTCAGACTTTTAAAAAAATCTCAAGGTTAGAATTGGATGATACCACTAGAATATTTTACAAGTGACTAGCGTAAAATTTATTTATTGGAAACTTCATGTTTTTTTTTTACTATATAAGACAGAATATGAATATCTTACACATTTGAGACTTTTTAAAGAATCTCTAGATTAGAATTGGGCTAGAGTATTTTTTGTATAATTGACAACCTTAGAAACTGAAATTGAAAAGTGTCATGTGTTTCAAATAGATTTAAAAGCAACAAAATTTAGCTCTCTTATTTATTACAGTTATTATTGCCTGCCAAAATGATAAATATAATTTTCATTCACCTAAAGTATTTTACTTATTATGAAATTAGTATCCTCATTCTTGCAATATTTCTTAGCAATTTTTTTAATCAAATCACAAATTGGTTAAAAGCTAAATTTACAGTTGCAAATTTTATTTAACTGAATAAGATTTAATTTGCATTGCAATGTATTATAAATTATTTTATCTCAATTAGTTTCAATTAATTTATGTATTTTTTAAGAAATGCATTTAACCTTCAGCTCTGCATCTTCAACAACAATAACTTTTTCTCCTTTACATATGCTGCCTCCAAGAAATACCTGTTAAATAAAATAAACAATAGCTGCAAATGGGTAAAAGTAAAACAATTATTAAGATAATAATATACAAAAAAAACTGTAAAAATAACATGGATATACATAAACGTCATAGAACGCTTAAATATAGATGCTGGATACTCTTAATACTCTAAAGATGAAATTCAGAGTGAAAAATATAGTTGACTCTATAGCAGCATCCATGAAAATTTAAAACAAAATTATCGAGCCAAAAAAATTATTTAGTGCAAAATTATATTGCCTAAAGTAACAGTAAGTTAGTGAGAAACGGTTATTATAATATATCTATGTTAAATTTATGATGCTTTTAGGCAAAACATTTCAAACTTTAGTACGAAATAGATAGTAGATAAAGTGAAAATTTCATTGTAGTAGTAACGTTGTTTACCTGTCCGGTAAGCTTTATATTTTCTGTATCTGAAATATCATACTGTCTGATATCTCCGTGAAGCCAGTTGCTCACATAAAGATAGTGATCATCCATAGATATCAAAATATCTGTTATCAATCCTAATATAAAAAAGTAATAAAAATTTAACATTTTAATAAAACTTTAATTAAAATTGCAAGTGTGTAGATGGTATTTTTTTTAAATGAAAGCAGTGCATTGGTGCATTACAGTTTTTAAAGTCTATGTATAACAGTCCATTAAAAAAATAATAATTGAACATTTTGATGAAAATTGTATAGATATTGCGGGGTTTTTTTAATATAATTGGGCATAAAAAAATGCCAAAAAAATGTACAATGTGGATTGGCAAATGAATATTTAAGCTAGGAAAAAATTAAAAGGCTATCGAAAGTTGACGAATAATAATTGAGAAAGGAGTGTAAGGAAACTTGTTAAATTGCGCGATATAACCAAAAGAAGTTGAAAGATACTTGAACCTCTCAAGTTCAAATCAGCAATCAAGCAGGTTTTGACATTCTTACACTCCCTAATGTATCTAATTTTTTTTATTTCATTTTTTAAAAGAGTTGTAAAAATGTATTTCGAGCGATGTTAAGACGATTCAGGCAGGAGCAATGAAAAAGGATATTTCGAGAAAAAGCCATGTTAGAGTTTATGAAGACTTATTTCATAAATGTTGACTGATACGAGTTCTACTCCCGGCTCGCATCGACCACAGAGCTGACGTGAAATATATTCTGCGGTAGACGGATCATAAGTTAGAATCCCCTAACCGAGCGCCTAACTGTGGGAGAGATTTTCGTGGTTTACCTTTCCTTTTAACACAAATGTAGGTTAGTTCTACCAAAGAGTCTTCCACGAAGGCTAGCTTGTCCCGATGATTTATCCGGGAGTATCCTTGCCTTCTGGGTTGTGTTTAAAATTACAAGACCAATTGATAGTCATCTACTTAGATTGTTCAGCGCCAGTTATAAAATAAAATAAAATGTACGCGTCAAATATAACAAGTGATATCTCTCCCATTTATGTAAATATCCCCTTATACATTAAGAAAATATCCTCAAATGTGAAAACTGTCGAATTATTAAAAAATAACAAAATCGATTTTTAATAATTTTACCGAAAATATCCATTCATAAATATTATCCTCCTACATCGTAGTTGTAACGAGTAATAACGAATAATAACGAGAATAAATCGTGGATATAAAATTCTACCTACAACTTTACTTATATCCACCCATGAAAGGTATGAAATCAAGTGTAATGTCACACACAAATAATAACTCTGTATCTTAATATTTTACCCGGCATTTCAGGAAGAATCCAGTTTGCTACTTTTTTGTTTGGAGTTCTTGCGACCAATTGAGATTTCCAAGAACCATCCTACAAATATAGATTCATAAATATATTAAAATAATATAATATTAGATAATAAATGAAAATTCGATTCTGGTTATAATTGAAAACATTTGAAAGTATTTTCATGAAATAAAAGTTGATGAAAAAGCTAAAAATTAAAAGTTTTGCTTTGAATTTTACAAGTATGTAAAATTTGAACAGTAACCAAAAACAAAGTAGTCAAAATCTAATCCCGTAGTAGAGGATATTGATCCATACTGCGTAGAGCGAAGTACGCAATAGAAGAACCAAGCCCAGTGACATTTCAAGGAATTTAAAAAAAAAATGGCCTTAGACTGAGAAATATGCGATAGCTGTTCCAAAGCAGTCATTGAAACTTATAATAACATAATGTTCATCACTTAAGAACGACAATAACACAAAGCTGAGCTATTATAATGCTAAACAATGTGAAATGCAAAAAGTAATTACCCATTTATTTACTTCTGTATCCTAAAATTACCTATAAAATTATTTTATTACAATTCAACTCAAATCGATAAATTTAGTTTTAATATAATATCGCTAAAAATGTATGTGCACTATTTTATACAGAATGTTCGGCTATGATGAGTCTTAATACATATTTTTTGAATCATTGCAAAGAATGAAGTTAAAAATGTGTACAAAATAATGAATATTTAGCAAGGATAACGCCATCGAAATGCAATGATTCACTTCTAAAGATGATGCAAAATTCATGTTAGTCATCAAACTGATTCATATTTTTTATAGCCCATTGTGCAGCTCTAGTGCGACGTAAATGAGCAACAGCAACAACAATCATATTTTTTTATCCAAACTTCCTCACTAGTGGCTCGACACTAGTAGCGTTTCGTTACTTCCTCTCTTAAACACAAATTTGAGACCCATAACTCGCATATTTTTTATCTCATTTTAGACAAAGTTTCTAAACGCATATTTCATCAGAGCAGTTGCAAAAGAATTCCTCGGTCATTTGCTCGAAACCAACAAAAATGGACGGTTCTTTTTATTTGGAAGCAAACTATTGTGATCAGTTGCATAAACAAGATCTATGTGGTATAATTAAAATGCATCGACAAAATATGTAGTGTTCCTAATGAGAATCAAGCTCTAAATGGGTAGAAAAATCGATTTTTACTTAGAAATATGCAGTTTAAAAGAAAATTAACTCTTCAATGCGAAAAATATAAATATTGTTTCAAATATACTGTGTTCTAAGAAATTCAATTAATTAAAATTATTTAAACTTTTTCATTAGTACATTAAAAAATGGCAAATTTTAAATTTTAGAATATTGTAGAATATTTTTATAGTGTATTTCTTCACATTTCGGTCGGGAAACAAAAGTCACTAGACTCAAATAATATGATATTCATGTACCAAAATATTTTCTTAAAAATCCGGTCAAATATTAAGTAAGCATCTAATGAGGGAGGGGGTTTATCACTTGCTTATTTTAACAACAAGGAGAGAGAAGTGGTATGATAAAAAATAACCTTATTTTCAATTTATTTTTTTTTTTAGTTAAAATAAAATCATAACGTGAGGGAAATTTTCAAATGTGAAATAAAAGTTGATTTCGGGAAGGAAAAAATGAGAAAAAAAATTCTTTTTTCAAGGAGTTTTACAGGTTAAGGATCTTGAACACAAAAGACTCCTAATGAATTTTCCACCCAAATTTTTCCAAAACATAACTTTATTTAATGCATAGTTGCGTCATTTTATTTGAATTTAATCCTAAAACTGTATATAGTACAATTCAAAGAAAAAAGCCAAGGGGGGGGGGCTGCAGCCTTCTTATGTAAGCATGGAAGGGGGGTTGTAAATTGCTTATTTTTGTTGACAAAGAGGGGAGAAGTTCGAAATTGCCAAAAATATGCTTACGTATTATTTAACATTCCCAAAAAAGTTACTTGGATTATGCACTTTTCGTATAATTTTTAATAGCAATTTAAAAAATCTTTGAACTACCTGGGTAAATTCAATAATATTTTTCTAGACAATTGCTTCGTTAAATCATACAAATTCTTTTAAAATATTTTTTGAGTGATAAATTGCTCCAAACATTGTCAAGTGCATCGGACGCCGGATTCTCAATTAGATATAAGTAAACGACAATACAGAACAACGTGATACTTCATTTTAAACTATTATATTATATGAAGTAATATTTTGTACAAAAATTAACTTATTTTTCAACATTCTTTTTACATTCCTTTATTCGGGAAATATTTTTCTTAGATCATTTTATAGACGCAATATTTTGTCTTTCAGATTTCGTTTACATATCATTTTAATCAGTTCGCTGTTTAAGTTAGGTAACTTTGTAACAAGATATGGGTTAATTTTACATGGTTGTAACTAATTTGAATTTCGTTACGGTTCTCCAAATTTCTGTCAAATGTAACTGGAATAGTTATATGAAGCTGAAATTATCTCCAAAAAGAACTTTAAACCTAAGTAGAACAGTGACTTTTAGACAGTAGGAATACATAATGAAGAGGCAGACTTTATCACTCTGTTGCTTAAAGAATCGAAAAATTGGTGATCATTTAGAAGCAAATAGTTTTACATTTCTAGCGGTTTGTAACGTTTATGGATTATATGTCACCAGACTGGCAACACTGTGTCAAAAAGGGTTAATTAAATGTGTGAGTTGACCTTAAAGTTTAATTAAAAAGGTTATGGCCTATTTTACATTCTTTCAATGAATCACGTGGATGCAACTAAACTGAAAAAGTACTTAAATCTGCCGAGTCGGAAAGTCCTCCATGTTCCCATAATAAATCAATACAGCTGGGGGTACTGATTCAGGAGTTTCCTTGCTTTCTGGATTGATTCAAAATTACAAGACTACGGAGTTGAACATTAGTAGTCGTAAACCCAAAATTGGGTTGACTGTTCAACGACGGATATAAAATAAAATAAAAAATAAAAATAAAAAGTAGAGCCGTGATGGCTCAGGGGATAGAGCGTTCGCCTTCAAATGATGTATACCGGTTTCGAACTTCACGAATGGCTGGTCGATACGAATCCGCATCCGGCTTGCAACGACCACAGTGCTGACGTGAAATATCCTCAGTGGTAGACGGATCACGGATTAGAGTCCCCTTGCTGTCAGGCTTTCCTGGTTTTCATTTCCATGTACAATAAATGCGGGTTGATTCTATCAAAAAATTCTCCACGAAAGCAAATTTTGCCCAATACTTGATCCAGAGTTATGCTTTTTGAATTGAGTTCGAAATTACAAAGCTGCGGAGTTGAACATTAGTAGTCATTAACCAAAATTAGGTCGGTTGCTCAACAACGGTTATTAAACTAAAATATTAAGCAAAGTATTCCTGCAAAAGCCCATTGTTCATGGAGGATAAGGCTCTTCAATTTCGAGACCAACGGCATGATTGCGGCAATGTGGTCAGCACTGCGCACAGGCAGCCTTTACTACCCAGACAAGCTAGTACCCATCGATCTGAAGCTGGGTGGTCTTCTAGCCGCCACTGGTGTTTGAACCCCAGTTCTTATGCAATGAAATTCAAACCATAAAAGAAATATTTAATATCAGTAATATCAAACTCACGCTGTGCTTGTGAAACTTGAAAACTGTGGACGATAGAGCACATCCTACAAATCCAATGGCTGAATCAGGATTGTGAAGGAACCTAACTTCCAGTGGAATTAGACCTTCTGCTCCTAAATCCATTCGCTGGATTCGCTTTCTGGTAGTCCAATCCCAAATGTTAATACTGTGACCGTAATGACCTAAGACAAACACGAGATCTTTAAATTTTTATAAAAACATCAATAATTCCTTTTTTTTTAAAAAAAATCATTAGATACTATCAGTGACACTAAGTTGATGAAGAACAAGTAAAGTGACTGTTCTAAATTTTGTTGATTTTTATTCTTTTTTATGCTTTTTACGACATCGCGCTCGTCGTTTTTCGAAGCTTCAAAAGCGTAGCTCACTTCGCTGGTGGAGAACTGAGTGCCGTAGGTTCGATTCTGGCAGCCGACTAAATTACCGGCATCCATGCTTAGCAAGGTGAACGTTAAATCTACCTAGGCTAAAATTTATCCTGTCAATTTAGTTGCTTAAGTTTAGAGAGAAAAGTACCGGCTCAAGTGCTGTAAACATCGCCTGACCAAGAGCAAAATTACGTAGCATTCCTACCATGACCGTTAGCTAGAGCCCGAGAAATGAGGCTAGATAGTTTTCAATCATTGGGTGATGTGACTCTCAAACCAGCAAAAGTAATTAAATAACCAGCAAGATAATGTGGCTCTGCATTACACCATGTTAAAGTTTGTCTCTAATTTGGGCTATAATGTGGCTCAAAAGGCTTAAAAAATTTTAACAGTATAGTGATTAAGTTTTCTGTGTTATTTCCTATTATCTGTAAGCCATCAGATATACAGTTTCAAATCTTTTAGATTCAATCCTTGAAGTAAAAAAGAATAAACCACATTAAAATGTTTATTTTTTTACAAAAATTAATAAAGACAAATTTGCAGCAAATTTACCTTTTTGTACGTCTTCCAGAAAAAATCCATTTCTAAAAACATTGGGTGCAGCCCACTCTGTGCTAACCATGACATTGTGGCGAGGCTGATACCAATAATCGTAGTTAAATTCAACACTATCATTTTCGTCTTGCCATGTGCCTTTCACTTTGAATGTGCCTTGCTCTAATAGTACAAAAGTACCTGAAAAGGAAGACTTATATTATTAATACTTTATTGCAGTTAAACGTCAACATTTAAGATTTTGAAATCAAATCTGTTCCAAACATTATGCTAAACTAAACCATTCTGACTATTCTGAATAAACTATTCTGACACCTAGACTTCGTAATAAGTAGTTTTAAATAAATATATAGTGATGTTTAACACTAGAAAGACGGAAAATTCGTATATACCTATATTGCCTAAAAGCAGTCAAAATGACAGGATTGTGAATGCATAAATAAATTTGTTTAAAATTAATTTTTAAAATTTTTTATATTATTTACAGTTATTTAACAAGTTATTAGTAAATATGAACAATAAAAAAAATTATATGTTGTACAAAAAGTCACAAAATTCTAAGAAATTATGTCATAGACATCATTGCTTTTTTAATTGAAATTAAAAGCAGTCAAAATGACTTCCTTAGGCAATCTAGTGTTAAAAAGTAAACATCGGACATAACTTCATTTACTATCATTTAGTTGAATATTAGTTATCTATTTTGAGATTCGCATGTAACTATATTTTGTTTTCGCAAAAAATTTTAAAAAAAAAAGAGAAAAAGGACACCTATGAAAACATCGTACTTGCTCCTGTGTTTATGGACTATCTTATCTTTGACTATTTTCTCATAGGTATAACCATCAAGGTCACCCCTACTAGCAAAAACATTTTTATTTACCTCGACTTATTCTTTCTACTAATCTTTTCAAGAAATAATTCTCACTTTTGTGCAATTTTGTACTTTTGAAAAGAAAAATTTTTTTTCTTAGTGACGTCTAACTATCAGCTTGAAAATCGTTAAAATAAAGCGTTTTTAAAATTTTTCAAAACTGTCGCTTTAAAAGTTTGTCAAGTCAAACTGTAACCTTCTCATAAAATAAAGACCAGCTTTTTTTCACAAATGAGAATTTTAAAAAAAAAATTTGCTCGTGTTTCAAATACAAATTTATAATTTCTTTTACAAACAATATTACTTTGATTTTAGATAAAACAAAGAAATGTTATTGTTGTTAATCGTATTTGTAACATTTTATTGAAATTTTTGAAATTTTTTTCTTAAAAATAGAATTTAGAAAATTTACTTCACATTAAATGGATCCCAATCACAATCACCATAATGCATGCAAATGATTTAAAAAAATCGTTTTAGGCAGTGGTAGCTAAACCAAGAAACTATCACTATTTCTAAACCATAAACTTTCTTCCACTATCATGCTTTGAAGTTTCCATTTTTGTCTATAATCATTGTTTTTTAAATTCTCCGCGAATTTTTCAACTCATTCGTGATCAAATCATGTTAGGTTTCCTTAAAATGAAAAGATAAAGGGGTTATAAATATTTAATAGTAGCCAGTTGCAGCACAGCCTACAAATGTTATAAAGTGATGAGTCACGAGTTCGATTCTGGAGTCTGATTAAACAGTGTACATACGAAGCAATTTGCAGATTAAATATGATGGAATAAAGGATTCGACTGAATTTAGGTTTCAATGTCACAAGAGCCAAAATAGTCTATGCTCCAAATAGAGCCGCGATGGCTCAGGTGATAGAACTTTCGTCTTCCAATGAGGTGAACCGGGTTCGAATCCCAGTAGATACTAATTCCGCATCCGGCTTGCACCGACCACAGTGCCGACGTGAAATATCCTCAGTGGTAGACGGATCATGGGTTAGAGTCCCCTTGCCGTCAGGCTAACCGTGGGAGGTTCTCGTGGTCTTCCTCTCCATGTAACGCAAATGCAGGTTAGTTCCATCAAAAAGTCCTCCAAGAAGGCAAATTTTCCCCAATACTTGATCCAGGAGTTTCCTTGTCTTCTGGATTGGGTTCAAAATTACAAGGCTACGTAGTCGAACATTAGTAGTCGTAAACCCAAAAATTGGGTTGACTGTTCAACGTCGGTTTTATAATATAAAAAATAAAAATATGCTCCAAATAAAAAGACATTAAATACTCAGTTTACCGAATCAAATGGTGTTCTAAACTAAGTCTGTTGCAAAAAAGAAGTTATGGGGAGAAAGATCTGGAAGGTGCCTTTGGATGATATGAACTGTGTTTAGCCAAAAGAAGATGAGCTCCACCCACTAAGAGTCGGCGTGGTTTAAAACTGAAGTGGAAGTTGCAGAAAGATGGTCGAACCAGGCATTGGTCACAATGTTTGAACGACGGATCAAAAATATCTGGCAGTCATGCCATGTATTGTTATTTTTAAACTTCAGGTTTTATTTCCCCCTAATTATAATCCTTGATTTTGAGTCACCCGTTAAAAACGTATCAACTACGATTCTTTTTAATTTCTATAAGGTTTTTTGAGTTACTCTAAAGCAAATCTTCTGACCTTGATAAAAAAATATTATAGTTTCTTAAAATTATAATTCTCGGATTCATATGATACTCATATATGATTTAATTAATCACACTGTATTAAGACCTGGTTTCTTAGACAGGACGCCGTCAGCTGGAAATCAGCTAAGGCGTTTGTCCTAAGAAACCAGACCTTTACTTAAAGATGAAGCAAAAAAAAAAAACAAAAAAAAATGAAATAGATACACACACCTTTAGCTTCTCCAGTTTCATCACCTAAGCAGCTTATCATGACATCACCACTTGGCAAACAATGCACTGTATGAGGACCACCGGCCTTACCCTTTTCATGAAATTCTTCGGTATCAACTACCTAAAATCATGTGACAAGATATTTATTACATGTGACAATATAATTATTATAATGATGATATTTCTTATTAAGAAGCATTTAACACTCACACAAAATTAATTTTTACTAAAAAAGTGGAATTCCAAAATTGATATTGAACAAAATAGTGAATCATTTAAAAAGCATATCAAAAGTACTATCTTTGCATAGCTGCAGTTTTGATAAATTTTGCAGAATATTTTTTTCTTAGCTATGAAATTTGTTAGCAACAATTAAAAAAACGTGGTATTTTCTTTATTTCACAGTAATGTGGATAACAATAAAGAAAATATCAACCTCACCAATTAATCGTCAGATCTTTTAAACTTATGATTTTTTTAAAAATAATAATGAGCTAAGATAACTTTAAAGTTACGAAAGAAAAACAAGTTTGAAGTTAATAAGTGAATATTATTTTGTATGTAACATCGTATTTCTAAAAACGTATACCTCTTATGTAAGTGGTCAATAAACTCTATTCTAAAGCCGCGATCGCCCGCACTTAATCCAAATACGAACTGCTCTCAAATCGAAAAAATTTCACATGTGCCTGGTGAGCCTCAATTTGTTAACCACTTTTATATACTAATCAGTAGAGCCCGGATTTTGATGATCTAAAAAATCTCAACTAATGCCCTTAAAAAGAGCAAAAAATGCCCTTAAAAAGGGCCAAAAATGAAAATTGCGCAAAAAATGCCTTAAATAAAGTAAAAATATTGAATTAAAAAAATATTTTTGTCTTTAAAATTATTAATGAGTCATTTAAGAAATATAAAGCAATGCAATACTTATTTTACGTTCATTAAAGTTTGAAAAATATAAATAGTAAAAATTGGAAAAAATTAACAAGAAACTTTAAAAAATGCATTAAAATGCAAAATATGCCCCACAATTTAAAGAAAAATGCCCTATAAATCTAAAAAAATGCTCTAAAAGACAAAAAATGTCCAAAAATGCAAAAAATGCGAATGTCATCAAAATCCGGGCCTTCCTAATCAGTGTTTGTATCATTGATTTACCGAATGTGATAATGTCATGCTGCAATAATGTAGCATTTGGTCACGACTCAATTTTAAAAAAAATTCTAAAATCACAGATGCGTGTTTGAATTACTTATTTAGGTGCAGAAATAGTGGATATTATTTTAAATCAAATCTATTAAACCAAGAATCGCATTTAACTCTAACTTAGAACATAAAATCGTCCACAAAACACGCAAAAATTGATTATTTAGAAGCCACACAAATGACATATTTTAATAAATAAACGAAATATTGAAAAACTGTCAAATAAAGTTCTCTTTCAACAGTTATTTTAAATTACTAAAATAGGTTTTGCATCACTTTAAAATATACAAAGACTTCTTTTCTGTTAAATGGCATTGTTGCCATTTGGTCAATAATAACTTATTTTCTAATACATCAGGTCAAAGAGACATAGTTTCACATGTAAAGAATGGGGCTCATGAAGCCTATATCACTGCAGTAAAACACGATCTAAGTTTTATTTTTGGATTTTGTTCTTAAATTTGATCAACTTATAACTTACGATAAGTTCCAAAGATATTATATTAAAATTACTTATGTTCCTCGATTGTTAAACTCCTGTAAGATCTTTAATGAGGACGGTCAATGAATTAGTTACTATATAGATTTGTGTAAGAAAAAAACGGATTTTTTTTTCATTAAGTGTAACCAAATATGATAAAGCTGGTACTGGCACATACTTCCAAAAATAATCAATTTAACCAGAATATAATTTTTTCTTTATTTAAATGCTTGTTTTTGGAATTTGAGGATTATTTAAGGTTTATTTAACACCTTTATAGTCACTCAAACGCTCATTGCAACTTCCACAAAAAAAAAAATAATAATAATTTAATTATCACGTTGAATGCCACGCTAATTTTACATGGCTTGCCCGTCTGGCCAAAATGATTTTTGTGTGTTCTATATTGCATTAATTTCTTCAAACCATTCTAGTAACGATAATAATTTTAAAAAAATTAAAGGCATTAAAAATTTATTTGAATTGTGTGTTTCTAATAACCTTGGCTTCTCGGTCACCGGTGACCCCCATGGCATTCGACGTGTTAAAGTCAAAGTGTTTAGCATTAATTTTCAACTCCATAGCAACATCATAATTCAAAGCACAAGAGTCTTCCTGCATTAATTATGCTAATCTTCGTATTTATGTCATATTTGGTATTATGTCTTATAATAGAGAAAATTATCTTAAGAGATTATAAGGCTAAGGTTGAGGGCAATTAAACAAGAATGTTTAAATATTTGTTCAAGAAATTCAAATTACCTTGTGTATACGTGGTGCTCGTGGATCAGTTTCAACGTCAATAATGTAAATTCTGTCCGAATTTATTCCAGGAGCAATTAAGTAACTACGACGCACCGAACACATCTTGCAACTGCTGCATGCGTTCCATCCACTGTGGTGCAATTCATCGCCAATATTAGGAAGAGCAGTTCTATGAATGATCTGAAAGAGAAAGGTGGATTCAATTTTACACAAAAGGCAGTGGCTATTGTACCCATTCTTTGAAAAAATATTCTAACCGCTATTTGGCCGACTTTCGGCAATAGCATCACTTTACAAGTAAACCAGAGCACGAATTTGATTTTGTAGCACTAATGTTATTGAATTTCGGAAGACTTTTGGAGAGATAGTGCTGATGTCATTCAACCTATCCGAACTGTCTAGTTAGTAACCTTAACCTCTTTACCATAATAAAAGGCCGGGATAGCCTGGTCGGTAGGGCACTGGGCCCATGTCCGAGAGTTCGTGGATTCGAACCCCACCGGTCAAAGATTCCCCGTGTAGTAAATGGTAACTGATGCACGTTAAATCTGTCGACTCGCAAAGTCCTCCATGTCCTCATAACAAATCAATACTTCTGGGGGTACTGGATTGGAGATCGATCG